AGTTACAGTACCCTGCGGGACCCCTGGCCGTGACCTTAGCCTTCCCCCAAAACCCCCCCCAAACATAAACAGCTGCCAAACAAAAAAACAACAATGTGGCAGCAAGCTCTTCAAAATGAACATTCTCAGAGATCCAATCTTCCAGTAACCAACAACCTTGGAATAAAAAAAACCCAGAACTATCTGTAACAAACTAACCACTGCCCCTAGTGGGTATGAAGTAGATATAGACCCCCCACATTGATATTGATTTTGAGATATAGTTTACTGGCTGTCATAAACACCATAGGAAAGTAGTATTGCAATAAAAATTGAGGCAACCACAAGAAATAGAATGACAGAGCTACCCTTCCATTCATAAAGTCCAATACCAACCAAAAGGATGGCCAGAAAAAGTCTATTGGAAATAGGGTAATATGACATAAGTCTATATATACAGTACCTGCTGCGCCCTGAGGAAAAGCAGCCTGCCTGTGTTTCTGAAGAAAGCCCTCGGCAAAACGTTGCTCCTTTATTGGTCCTCCTGTGGTTTTGGAAGCCTCTTGATGAACTGTTGAGCCTCTTCCACAGAACCTAGAAATTGTCTGGCACCGCTGGGTTGCGTAATGCGAAGACGCGCTGGGAAGAGAAGAGCCGGCTTCAAGCCCCGCTTGTAGAGCTCCGCCATGGTGTCCCTGTACTCTGCGCGCTGGGCCAGGACTTCCGGACTGTAGTCCTCCACAATACGAAGAGACGCACCTTTGTAGTCGAACTTCCCTCTCCTCCTGGCTTCTCGGATGATTAGATCCTTGGTCAGGTATCGATGCAGGCGAAGGATCACCGGGCGGGGAGGACGTCCTGCGGGTCGTTTAGTTGCCAGAGAACGGTGCGCTCTATCGAGCTCTGGTGGAGATGGGAGCACCTCTTTTCCAAATAACTCGCAGAGAAGGTTGGAGAAAAACTGAGTAGGGCGCCCGCTTTCGGTGTCTTCGGGCAGACCGAGGATGCGAATATTCTGCCGCCTGCTGCGGCTCTCCAGGTCAGTCACTTTATCTTTCAACTTAGCGTTGTCTCCACGGAGAGCAGCACATGAGTCTTCGAGGCTAGCCACTCGCTGGCCCAGATCCTCTGTTGCAAGCTCCAAGGAGGAGATACGCTCTGCCTGTTCCTCCTGGGCCTGCCGCACCTGGTCTAGCTTGGAGCTCAGCATGTTGACAGAGGACTTGAACTCAGATTTCAGATCCTCACCATGCTGCTGAAAAAGTGCGGTGATAGCATCTAGCGTTAAGCTGGCGTCCTCCTTCTTACTTCCTTTCGCGCTCTTACAGGCCATCTCTAGTGCGTAAATAATTAAAAATACTTACCAAGACGTTTTATATATTGATAGGTGGCGTAGAATTAGTTTTCTGTGGGGTGAATTTAATTAAAAGTTTGGATTTTTACGGAGCAGTCTGTTGCTACGTCTACCCTGCCCGCATGACAAACCGGAAGTCCAAACTTTTCTTTTTAAACCGTGTGCTACATTTCATTTAAATTTTTCCCTAACACTCTGTGGTCACAATTGAAAAGAAATTGGCTTTACTAAGCCGATAATAACTATCTAATTATCAAGAATGTGGTACTTTTAAGATCAGTCTGAATGGCTTTGGTGAGAAGCAATGAGTTTCATGTCTCCATGGTGTTGCATTTCCATCCGTGCTTTTTTCTTACTCCCCTATTGGTGATGTAGCAACAGTCTACTCCTTTCCCCAGGATTCTTTTGGGGATTTTTAATCTAAATTTGTGGGTGAAACACTGAAATAGTTTTACAACAAACAATATTATGGTCATTATGAAAAGCTGTACAAGCAGCAAAGAGCTATGTTTTATGAAGAGGGAAAGGACTCAAAGTGTTTTTTTTCTATGGGTAGACTGCAGGGGTAAAGGGGATGTGGCACTATGCCAACACTGCAGTTTTCTTTTAGCTGCACTGAGCATTCTATTGGCCAGAGTGCGTTTGTGGCTAGACGTTTTAGAGTTAATAATATAATTTGGCAAAATTTCCCAGAGTTGATAAAGCCAAATATTGTTTGTTACCCACCATCCATTCTTATAACGAGTTGGGCATTTCACCAATAAAAAATTGGCTTTTACAGATTTACTTCAAATGAGTAGCAAGAGAATTGGTAGGAGGTCTACTAACAATCAGCATGTTTCAACACAGTTAACACAGAGAACAGTCAGCCTAAGGTTACAAGATTCAATAATAGAACCAGAATTGTATTGAATTAATTATTGTCGTAAATGCTTATGAGAAATATGATCAACATTAACTCCTTGGCTCCAAAATTCAAACCGTATGGAATAAATGATTATCATAAATCACTATCCAAAGAAATTTGATGTGGTAAGAATACTAGTTTATTCACCACTATATCTCAATATAAACCAATATTAGTCCATTGTAAACTTTAACCTGGGATTTTACAATATGTGTCTGTTTATGGTACCGTAATTGTTGGTGCGCTGTTGGAGTTCCTTTGTTTAATTATTTTTCTTTTTAATGATCCAACCGACCCAAGATGCTGTTTTGCAGTCTGTCCAACAAAAAAAAAACTTTTTACCACCCTGGCATTGACAATCCCCTGGGTCTCCTCTCCGTTATGCAACAAACGCGTTACTCATGATGGGCCCACTTAAGAGGCTTCGCCCCACCAACTGGCCGACACACAAGCAATTACGGTCCACTCACAACTTTGGCACTTCAAGATGGTCCTTCTAGGTCCTTCTCACCACAATGCCCAGCTGAACATGCTCCAGTGCATTTCATCTTAAAAAAAAAAGCATAAACAGGGTAATACTCTTACACTTTATACATACAGGCCCCTTCGTTTCCCCATGACTTTTGTGGAAAAAAAAACAGCTTTGGAGTCTATCTCTCTGGAAAAAAAAAAAAAAACTCTTCCCATCCATCTGTCTTCCCACATTTCTTCTCTAAACCCCACCCACATTTTACTCTAATAGGCTGACAAACATAAGTGGACTCTATCGCTTTATTTTTGAGTGACACCTGTGTGAACCAATATTAATTTCTTAAGATATCTATTACCACAGTTTTACAGAATGCTCAAATACTAAAGTCATTACTTATATTGAAAAGTAGTTTTCTATAGAATGTGAAATTATCCTGAATAGAAAACAAAATACAAACTTTAACTTGAACTAATATTTTAATTTGATCAGAGTGCTACACTTGTTTTCAAAGACTTGTGCTGCATCAACTGTATTATGGATTGTACATCATTGTTAGTATGATATTACCAAATGTGCAAAGGTAAATGGAAGGACATATATATTGTAAAACACTGTCAAAGCCCATCTGTCTTGCATAAACCTTTAATAAACCGCTTCAAAGTACAAACTAGCTAACCATAAAAGGGTCATTGTGGGGGCAGGTCTGATTTTTAATTTATTCTTTCTTTTAATTATTATTTTAGCCCTATATAAAACATAAGATAGTCAAGAGAAAAAAGACTGTTACTGCTTCTTCCATTTCGCTTGCAGTTACCTTGGTTACTATTTGATGTGCTCAGCTTTAAGAAATGTGTATTGGCATTTTAGTCTCTGACTGTTCACATTTGCTTCTGGCCGGCATTTTTTATATAGGGTTCTCAATTAGTTTGAAGAAGAAAACATGCCAGCGTGTCCTTCCCTGACCTGCAAGTATAAAAGTGAATTTGCAAAAATTAAGGGTTCATACGTTTTCTATTTTCTCAGATATTTTATTTTTAATTTCTATTCAGACATCCTGGAAATATGAACTTAATTTAGTCAAAGTAGATGCTGAAAGAAAAAAATATCAAATTACATTTCTTGAATGGTAATGGTAACTGTGAGATAATTATGTTAGGGTATGTTTACTATAAAAGTGCTAGAACACACCATTTAGTGTTCTATCTCCAGCCTAATCAGATAAAGATTATTTGTTTAGCTTTTTACAAGTCTTAATAATTAAATATCATAAAAGTCTGTTTATCTCTGGCCATTTGGTGATTACAGTGTCTGTTAAGCTATCAGAAATATCCAGTATTTGCTGTGTCACCTTTTTTGGAGGGTTGCCATAGTTGCAATATTCGATACTCACTTTTTTTTCTATTCTTCTGAGACTTTGCTGGGCTTGTTCTTTGGTTTGCTGCAGATTCACTCAATGCAAATGGAATGGTTTGACAAAGAGTTGCTGCAAATTGTTCACATAGAACAAATATGACAGTTGTACCTGTGTTTTTATGTGAATCTTTTCTATACACATAGTAAGGAACCATTTCTCCAGATGGAATTTTTACCTCTCTATCCATAATCTAAGTTAAAAGTGAATCACCAAAGTTATGTGATTAATTCGGCTCCCTGATAGATTTTTATTCCAGTCATTTAGTTTAGTAAAATTTTTAATTATTTTTTTTTTTTTTTTTTTTTTTTTCTTTTTTTTTTTTTTAATGATTTGAACTTTATTTAGGTTTTAACAAAATAAAACATACAAAGTATACCATGTTGCACATTAAACCAATTGGGTATGCAAACACTGAAAACATAGACAATATAAAACAAAACAAACCATAAAAGAAGAACAAGAAAGATGCCAACAATACACTTAACCAAGGTTACAGCAGACATTACTGATTAAGGTTGATCTGAGCTGGAAACGTCATTGACCCGTATAGGAAAAGTAAGGGGCCCATTTGTCATTATAATCATTTACCCTATTTAACAGTCTGTATGATAATCTTTCAAATGCTGCCAGTTGTCCAAGTGAGGTGTGCCACTGATTGTGATTTTTAAAAAAGCATGATAGTTCTACTTATGTTTGAAGTTTCGAAAATTTTGATAAGTGGACACTAGGCCGTTGCCTAGGTCATTAGGCGTAGGTCATTATAGAACGTGATGTTTGACAGACATGTGTTGGGTGACAATCTGTAATTTGTATTCTGTAATTTGTAATCCAACAAATGTAAAATGCTTAATTTCCAGAATCATTTAAATGATGCTTGATTTCTCTTTGTCTATGTCTGCAGACCATGCAAGCGGCGCGATGCCCAACAGATGAGCTGTCGCTGACTAACTGTGCTGTCGTGAGCGAAAAAGATCTGCAGTCAGGACAGTGAGTCGTCCTTATTGCCATTTTTGACAACACAAGCACATAACCAAGCATTTCACTAATCATCTGTCCTGGCATCTATTTATCTACCCACTTCCTCGTCCGTATTTCATCCCTAAACACATAATTTCAATTCCATGTGATGGTGGCATATTGAAATATTTAAGTAAAGTGAGGGAGTAAGTGATAGGAAACAGTATGTTGAAAGGTAAGCCCAAAACATTCTCAGAACAATTTTTCAATGTTCAACATTTCACATTGTTTATTGTTTTCACATATCAATGGTTCTACCTTGACCAGTAAAAACTAAAAACTAAACTAACCCTATGTTGTCATCAAAAAGTAAACTATGAATTAAAGTTGCTGATAACTTATCGCCCCAAGAGATAGCCAATAAGAACTTGTGAGAGGTTGCTCCAAAAGTTGTCTTTGGGGTTTTTTTTGGCAAAAATTAGCTGGCCCATTATCATCTGTAAGTTACAGTTTTCATAAAGCATTTTAATATAACAAACATAGACATATTCATATTCGTTATCCAGACTATTTCCCTTGTTTCTCAGCTGACATGCCAAAACAGGAATCAAGGCCAAAAGTAAATGTAATAAGCAAATTATGTGGCCTATCTTTTCAGACATGTGACTGTGAAGACCACACCCAACCACAAGTTTGTCTTTACAGTCAAGACCCATCATACTGTTGCAGCAGGAAGCATTGCTTTCAGCCTGCCACAGGTACAGTACACTCACATACACAAATCCATTTTTAATCAACAACTTGGCCCAGTAGTTAGATTTTCCTTTTTCTCTCCTGTAGAGGAAATGGGCTGGTCTCTCCATTGGCCAGGAAGTGGAAGGTAAGATCTCCAGGTTGTCCAGATTGTCATTTTTTGCTGTGGTACATATGAAGATTTATGTGATGTGATACTTTTTCATCTGGACTTAATGGTACCGTATCTTTATATTGATCGAGTTTGACCCTTTTTTCTTTAAAAAAGGATTTCCATTTTAGTTAAATATGACATATTTCTGGTAGGCTGTTATCATCATTATTTCATTTCTGTGTCTGCTGGAGCTTGCTGCAAAAAATGTTCAGAATATTAGTTAAGTCCCCATAAATGGCCTAATCATTACCATGTGATTCATGTGCAATGCTATAAAAAGTGACAGCCACCATAGACTATAGACTATTTTTGTAAGGATATCTTGTTTTTACACTATTCATGAAATGTTTTTTTCCCTTTTATTAAAAATGTCTTTGTATCAGGTGGTATGAAAAAAGTAACATTACTTATTACTTATGCTTTCATGAAGGCTTCTACTGACAAGCTGTTTTTACATCTAATCCACTTTTATTAGTTTTTATTGGTTCCACTATCACTTTCAGTGTTTTCAGTCTTAGTTATGTATTGTGAAAATACTAAATTTATGGTATTTGTTGGCCTCTATTGTTTCAGTGTCCAACTACAATTTTGACAAGTCCAAGCAGTGCATTGGTGCTATGACAATCGAAATTGATTTCCTGCAAAAGAAGAGCACAGACTCCTCTCCCTATGATTCAGACAAGATGGCTGCTGAGTTCATACAGCAGTTTAACAGCCAAGCTTTTTCAGTCACCCAGCAGGTGTGTACAATATGCCTCAAAGCAAATCTTACACTCATACTCAGAGACATACAATTGGGTTTTCTTTCAATCATCTCGTTTGCTCTCTCTGTCTTTCAGTTAGTCTTTAGTTTCTGCGACAAGTTGTTTGGATTGATGGTAAAGGACATTGAGGCCATGGATTCCAGCATTCTTAAAGGGGAACCAGCCTCCGGAAAGAAACAGCAAAAGGTATTGGACAACTATGCTGAACAAACTAAATGACATAAAATGCAAAGCAGGGTCTTGCTTATTGATTCTGAGTTGTATCTTAGGATGTCTCTGTTGACGGAAATGAAAAATGAAAATTTTTTCAGGCTGCTAATGGAAACCTTTGTGATCACCCTCAATTTTGATTGGGATCAAGCTGTGATTCAATTTTGGCACATATGGTATACAGTTGATAGTTCTAAGCAACAACCTTGCTCCTTCTTAAATAAACTTCAGAGAATCAGCTTGAAATTAAATTGCGTTTCAAAATTCGACTGCATTGAACTTCATCAATAGGCAATAGCAAGGTACGCCGACAAGGAAAACGATATTGTAAGGATTGCTCTCATATCACCTCAACTAATGTTGTGTTGTATTATATTTGTTTGGTTTATATGTCTCCTAAAGGGTTAGATAATGGGAAAGGTGGAAAATAGAAAAGAAAGAAAATTCATTACAATGCTTCCACATATATTCAGTATTGTAAAACTAGATTCAAATGTGTATTTTAGAGTCACATTTTGCAGTGGAATGATATGTTTAGCAGCATGGGTGATGAGGAGTAAAAGAGAACTGATTAAAGAGATAGAGGCTGATTTTGATAATGATGCATAGAGATGCTATCCTGATGCCAGAATCTAGGGTCCCTCTAAACTAAACTAATACCAGTCTTATTTATTTATTTTATTTTCATAACAAAAACATAAAAACAGTATTATGTTTCACTAAAAAAGAAAATGTGATGGACAACTGCCGAAAAACCCTCAAGGGGCTTAATGAGTGGCAGTCTCCATAAAAACAAATATATTTCACAATTTCAAACATATATACGATACTGTGTAACAAAAAACATTTCTTTGTATAAAACAATTTAAAATATAATTTACACCACAAATTCATATGGAAAATTTGGACAACTTAGTAGCAGGAATTTTACTCTCCGTTTAAATTGTTCTTTAGAAAGATCTGTCAGTGATGTAGGAAGACTGTTCCATATCTTTGATCCTCTGTATAATACACTAAACTGTATTAAGTATTTACATTTTAACAACAACATCTTTACAAACTAAGATGTGATGTGATGTAACTTTAGTTCTGTTCAATTTTATACACGCATTCATAAAGTTATTCTTCAAAGCCAACTCCATTAACTTCTAAATAAAAAGATGCTAGCAAAGAGAACATGGATGACTCACTAGACAACATAGACAAGGTGACTGAAATAAATGTATTTTTTATCATAAGTATGCCTTCATCATATATGAGAAAAAATAAATGTTAATTCACATGTATCTTTGATCTAAGAAGGCAAGCTAGCATAGCATACCAGAACATAGTAGCTAACAAGGAATATTAGCACCTATGCCATTTGTGTCTTTTCAGAAGAAGTCTCACGACATATTGATACATTTAATCACCAGGCTTTCATGCAATTTACTAGTGCTTTATTAAACTTTTATCAAACTGAAAGACTTCAGCTCAATTTTTATTTAACACTGTAGAAAAGATAAGATAGATGCATTACTTGGGTTGATCAAAAGCAGGAGGAAAACACAAAGACAAAATCTATTTTCTTGCAGGTTAAATCTATATGTACACTTTTATTTAACCTCATGAATCACACATAAGTTTGAATTTAGTTTTAACTATTTGATTTTTAAACTTTCAGGTTTATTCTTTGTTTAGTGTGTTGTAAGAGCACTTTTATCTATTATTTGGGCTTACAAAATGCCTCCTCTGGCTAAGTAAAATGAGGTATTTTTCAAGCTAGATTTTCATAGACAATGACCAAAGTATGCCTGTAACTGTTCCACATTTCCAAATGGTTTAATGACTCTGTTTTTTCTGAAAGATTGATATCGGTCTGATGGTGGGCAACAGCCAAGTAATCTTTGAGAAGGCAGAGAGCTCTTCCCTCACACTTGTTGGTATGTTTTCAACTGCTATTAATATTTCTCCATTTTATTTTCGAGCAATTGTTCTGAAAGTGTTCTGTCACTAACACACATACATTTGTTCTGCTGCATATAAAGTATGAGGACAATAATAGTCCTGTATCCATCTGTACCACAAGATGGCAACAAAAACACATTGTTACAAAATCATCCAGATTTACAAATCGTATTAGAATTCCTGTTGCTGTTTGCTAAGGAACATATCAAGAACATATTAAGAGAAACATATTTAGCATTTATTTTACAACCCTGTATGAAACATTTTGTTTAGTGTATATCTCTGCAAAAGGAATGTAAAGTTTTTCGCTATTTTCTTTTTTTCACAAGGTAAAGCAAAGACTAAGGAAGCCCGACAAACAATCATCAACCCAGACTGGAACTTCGAGAAGATGGGAATTGGAGGCCTGGACAAGGAATTCTCTGACATTTTCCGCAGAGCCTTTGCATCCCGTGTTTTTCCTCCTGATATAGTGGAGCAGATGGGTGAGAAACCTCAGTTTTATTATCACTTTTGACTGCTGTACCAAGCTAGATTGTTCACTTTCTTTATTAAATCGTCTCTCCTCTTTCAGTTAGTCTCTGTCCCTGACATTTGTCCTGCTTCACTCTCTTTGTTCCAGGGTGTAAGCACGTGAAGGGTATTTTGCTGTTCGGACCACCAGGATGTGGTAAAACACTGATGGCAAGGCAGATTGGCAAGATGCTCAATGCCCGCGAACCCAAGGTGGTCAACGGCCCAGAGATCCTTAACAAGTATGTGGGAGAGTCTGAGGCCAACATCCGCAAACTGTTTGCAGATGCAGAGGAGGAACAGAAGAGGGTGAGGCGTCGCCAATACTGTTTGCTACCATTCTCAATGAGTTGATAAACACAGCTGAGTAATGTAAAAAAAAATCATATTTACAGCTGGGAGCCAATAGTGGCCTGCATATCATCATCTTTGATGAGTTGGATGCCATCTGCAAGCAGAGAGGAACAGGCGCCAGCAGCACAGGTGTGCATGACACTGTGGTTAACCAGCTCCTGTCTAAGATTGATGGTGTGGAGCAACTTAACAACATCTTGGTCATTGGTAAGTAGCATAAGAGGAACTTCACTCGATACGATGGCCTGAAACATCCATACCATTTCACTGTAACTGCTTTGACTTTGAGTTATTTAGTCATTCAGATCAATCAAGGGAGACGTAAAGTTACTGCCACTTTGACCCTGTAGCAATCAAAAATACCAGAAGGTAATACTTAGAGTAATTATTATTTTTAGGTTTTAAAAACATTGTCTGCTCTAAATTGATTGAAATGTGTTGACTGAAACCAACAACAAAGAGTGTTTAGATCTTACAGTGATTGGACGTGATTCATTGCCTTGTACTAGTAGCAACACATCCTGATGGATGTATTTAACTTGTTAACAGTGGTGTTTTTTCAATTGACTAGGTTATCTCTGCTGTGTGGACACACAAATTCAGATGTTGTTGTTCAAGTTGTTTGAACATCTTATAAGCTAAACAACTTCGCCACAACTCTTCAGAAATTTTATTGGCTTAACTTGAAAGAATCCTCTTTGGATTACATTTGAGAAACTCAGTTTACTGATGATACTGTTAGCCACGTGAATAGATAGTTTTAATGTGTGTTTTCATCTATGTTTGCATCTAACCTTTGGCACTCTGAAAAGTTTATGTATCAAGAAGCATTGGTGTTATTCCTCGCCTTTCAGGTATGACTAACAGGCCTGACCTGATAGATGATGCCCTGATGAGGCCTGGAAGGTTTGAGGTGAAAATGGAAATTGGTGAGTGATTCACTTCCTTTTTCTTGATATGTCAGCAAGGATTTTATTTGAATTAGCTTTTGAACTTACCATGGGATTCCATGGTGGTGGTTTGTAAAAACTAGTCAAAGAGAGGTTCCGACTGAGTGTCATTTTCTGTCAAGAGCCAACTCAAACTCTTGTACAATCTGTTGCATGCTGGTTAATTTCAAATTACGTTTTATTCTACCAAGGGATGCTAATTAACTTGTTTTATGCTATTGCACATTAAGATAAAGATAAGATTAGATGTTCTTTATTGATTCCAGCATTGGGAAATTGTTAGGCAGCATCAGCAAGACATACAGAAAACAAAAAGGGAAACGCTAAACATAAATTTAAAAATCTCAAGTTGAATAGTATAATCTACAAGCAATCTACGGCATTGATTGTTGAAAACTCCATTTATTTTCTGTTTAACAATCTTGTCAGTGTCTATCCTGATAACAAGCACCTACCTGGTGCAACAACATAAACCTAAACTGTTGGAGGAAACTCTTTGCTAGACAAAGAAGGGTTCCAACCTTATACGGATATGACTGCTAATTACCTAGTGAGACGCAACTTTAAGTGAGTTATTGTATTGATATCATGTGGCAGGAAAGATTTCCTGTATCCGTCTGTTCGACAGTAAAGTTGTAATAGTCTGTTGGAGAGAGTGCTGTGCTGGGTGTTCAGTGTGGGATGGAGGGAGGTGGTTCTCCATGATGGAAGACACTTTCTTGAGTGTCTTCCCCTCCACCACAGTCTAAAAGGTCTTAGGCCTGAGAGCAACCACAGATTTAGCCCTCCTTATCATCTTGTCCAATCTGTGAGTTTATCTGGCTTTGATCCTGCTCCTTTAAAAAACAGCCCTAAAAAGACCATGATAAGCTTGTGAAAGGGTTTAAGTTCAAGAGCTAAGACACCTCTGTGAAACAAAGAACATATTTTAGAGCTGCTTATGTGTCTACTGCTGAATTCACTGAGCACAGCCTATCACATTAGTTAGGTTTAAATGGCAAATTCTGATGAAACCTTCCAGCGGTAGATAATTGAGTCATTTTTGTTCTCCAAAATAGTCAAAACAAGAAAAAAACTGAACAAAATAGCTTAAGGGTATTCACCACAAAACAATTTTTTGCTCTTTTGAGCAAATGTCTGTGAATGATTGTAAAGGAAAAACAGAATCTTGTGAACTATCTAAATCAAATGTAAAGGACACACCAAAATCATGGCAGTCTTCCTTCTCCAGGTCTGCCTGATGAAAAAGGTCGTGTCCAGATCCTGAACATCCACACCACCAAGATGCGAAACTTCAACCTTCTGGCTGGAGATGTTGACATCAAAGAACTGGCAGCAGAGACCAAGAACTACAGCGGAGCAGAGCTGGAGGGATTGGTCAGAGCAGCGCAGTCGACCGCCATGAACCGGCACATCAAGGTCATTTGACATTTTCAGATAGTCCATATTTCATTTAATCTGATCTGGGCTCAGTTGTGGTAAGGAGGCAAAACTTATTTGACACTAGAAAACATGTATATTCAATATCAGACCCACAGTTCATCCACCATCAGCTTTTGTGATCAACAGGAAGTTAATAAAATTAGCTATAATACACCTCTATCCATTAATTTTCTATACATTTACTGTCACAGTTGTTACAGTGGATGATGGATTTTTGACGAGCTGGACCCAAGTGCAAACATGGACAAAAAAGACAGTTTAAGATGAACTCAACTTTCTTTATTAACATTAAAGCAACAAAGGACACAGCAGCTGGATAATCATAAACTACACTCTAAAAACAAAACTACAAAGGACAGAATTTTAAACCAAAACCACTGAATGTAGAAATAAGGGATTTTAGTAGATTTCGGAAAAAAAACAGAGAAAGACAGTTCATACTGCAAAAGCTGATAAGGATAAGAAACTAGAGTTGAATTACAGAGGAGAGTGGAAGCATCTGAAGTTAAAGAAAACAGATGAAAGGGGTAGAGCCAATGACCAGACTGAAGGAACTATGGATGATGAACAGGAACAACAAACAATGAAAATAAAAACAAATCAACAACAAGGAAACAAGAGAGAGATTAACTAAGGAAACACAGTAGAAACTCAAATGCCAAAGCACAAAATAATGCAAAGAACATAAATTAATCGAATAAACAGGAAGCTTTTCATTCATTTTCCATATCACCTATTCCTTGTTGTGTCACAGGGGCACTGGAGCCTCTCTCAGCTGTCATTGGATGATAGGCAGGGTATACCATGGACAGGTCTCCACCAACGAGGAGACACATAGATGTGAACCTGACACACTCACACATACCAACGGGCAATTTAGAATAATCACTTAAGGGAGGAAGCTTGAATACCTGGAGATAACCCACACATACATAATGGAACATGCAAAATCCAGATATAAAGGCCCCCAGATGGGATGTAAACCATTTGACCCACCACTGGGCTGGGAAAAAAAACAAATAATCCCAAAAGTGGGGGAGGGTCTTAAATCTATCCTAGTTGTCGATGGGTGTGAGGTGGCTTACATCCTGGACATCCTGCTAGTATACATTAACTCAACAGCCCCGAAACGTAATTTCTTAAAACTTCTACACAAACTGAATTAGCTTTTCTTTTTTTTTTTTTACCTAAATGAAAAGGAAACAGTACTCAGATGCAGCTTAAGTTTTGATACTTAAGAGTCTGCATACATTTCAAACTCCATGCTCAAACATATCAATATTTTGGCTATCTAAACAAATGATCACACATCACAAATATAATAAAACTATCTTGTTACTGCGTCTTTTACATTTACACAGCCCATATTACTTTTTCCTTTGTTTTTGCAAAGAGCAAATTACTGAACCAGAAACCATGGACGCTTGCCCATTTGGAGTTCTTTATCAAAATAAGCTTCTGTTGCCCAATATGTACTTGCCGTAATATTTAGTGAACTTGATGCATTGGAAAGGTCTGGTTTTCTACTTTCAGAAATCATTTAATTTTCCTTTTGATTGCACCACTTGTTTAAGAGTTTTAGTTGGTGATATCTTGCAAACATGTAAATAAAGATAAAAAACACTGATTACCTTTCATATAAACTATTGAGGTATGTGAGTAACAGTCTGAATTTTCCCTGAAGCGGAAAAAAATTAAACAAGATATATTTTAAAATCAATTTTCATATAAGTATTTGCAACAGTTGGCTTATAACACATTTTTCATGGAAATAACTAAGGTAAGGAATGAAATGTGACTTAAATCTCTAGTATTTATATTTACCTGTTCACTCAGATTTTAATTCTTGGAACACATTTCTTTTCATATGGTGACACTGTTCTTTTGTCAAAATGCATTCTCCTCCAGGCAACATCTACAGTTGAAGTAGACATGGAGAGGGCGGAGAAGCTGCAGGTTACCAGGTCTGACTTCATGGGGTCCCTCAACAATGACATAAAACCAGTGCGTACAACTAACCAACAAAGATGATATTTGAAAACAGTGTAATTAGGTGAAAGAAGTAAAAAGAGGCAATTTTGTTCTTTTTGTCAGGCATTTGGTACAAACCAAGAGGATTATTCCAGCTATGTGATGAACGGCATCATCAAATGGGGTGACCCTGTCACTCATGTGCTGGATGATGGAGAGCTGCTTGTACAGCAGACCAAGAACAGTGATCGTACACCACTTGTGGCTGTGTTACTGGAGGGTAAGACATTTACATAATTGTCAATATTTTACCCAGGGATTGCATGTCCAAGTTTACCTGTGTGGAACACAACTCTACTTAATACCAGTCTTAAATATAAAAGACAAATAGCATGAAAAACCAATGAACTGACAAAACTTTTGTACTGCTGCTCTCTCTGTGCACAGGCCCACCACACAGTGGGAAGACAGCCTTAGCAGCTAAGATTGCAGAAGACTCTCAGTTCCCCTTCATTAAGATCTGCTCTCCTGACAAGATGATTGGAAGCTCCGAGATCTCCAAATGCCAGGCAATCAAAAAGGTAAGTGCTACAGTATACCTGTGCCCTGGAACATGTTTATGTTTGCTTGGCATTCTCCTTTTCTCATTCTTTCTTCTTTTCTGCCTCAATTTTAGGTCTTCGACGATGCGTACAAGTCCCAGCTCAGCTGTGTTGTGGTGGATGACATTGAGCGACTGTTGGACTATGTCCCTATCGGTCCTCGCTTCTCCAACCTGGTTCTACAGGCTCTGCTGGTGTTGCTCAAGAAACCCCCACCTAAGGTCAGAAACCTGTAAATGAAACAACCCACATAAAAATTATCAATGTGAACTTTGGGTTTTAGATAAACACGAAGTATTAATGAACACCGGAGGTAATATTTTTTCTTTTTCATAAATAAGAGGGCCATTTGTGATTTTAAAATATTGTAAGAAAAATACAGTTTTGGGGCACCAAAATATATGATAAATGTTTAGTCTTTTTTTTCTTCAATGCTACTATAATCCAAAAAAGAATTAAACACCTGTTTATGAAGTGGTATTAAATAGTGAGTATTAGGAACTTACAAAACATGGAGAGAGTTTCTCCTACATACACTTGTAATGATATTCAATTTGAGAAAAATATAAAATTCTATAATCACAACAGTCATAAAGAGTGCAACTGCCCCTCTAATAGAAGAAAATACATTAAATTATCTTCCTCCATAATCAGATACCGCCTCCTGGGAAATATACATGTGTGACAGCAAAACTGGAAGATGACTCCTTCTTCCATCATCCTATACTGAATATGTTGCATCAAACCACCTTCTTTGACATTGAACAATTCAATTCAATTAAATTCAATTCAATTTTATTTATATAGCGCCACATCACAACAACAGTTGTCTCACAGCGCTTTCCAAACAGAGCAGGTCAGACCCTACTCTGAAGTTAACTACAGAAACCCAACAATTCCCACCGTGAGCAAGCACTAGGCGACACAGGCAAGGAAAAACTTCCTTTTAACAGGCAGAAACCTTGAGCAGAACCATGGCTCAGGGTGGGCGGCCATCTGCCTCGGCCGGTTGGGGGTGAGGGGAAAGAGAGAGCAAGAGAGAGAGAGAGGGCGAGAGAAGGACAGAGGGAGCAGAGAGAGGCAGCCAACACAGCAACACGTAGAATAGATTAAAAATGGCAATGATATTAATGCTAATGATGAGCAGGAACACAGGGGCAGCAGGAAACTCCCAACCACAGATCCAGACTCCACAGCTCTAGGAACACCTGCAGGAAGTGATAGGAGGAGACTCCCAACCACAGATCCAGACCCCACAGCTCCAGAGCCAGGAATATCCGCAGAAAGTGTTAGGAAGAGAGAGGAGAGAGAAGGGGGACGAGAAAGCACATGACTACGGGGAAGGGAGAGAGTCCAGTTAGTAACATTGTTAATGGAATGAGGTTGCACCGGGAGGGAGAGAGAGAAAGGAAAGGGGAGCTCGGTGCATCATGATGCATCCCCCGGCAGTCTAGGCCTATAGCAGCACAACCAGGGGTGGACTTACTCTAACTATAAGCTCTATCATAAAGGAAAGTCTTAAGCCTACTCTTAAATATAGAGACGGTGTCTGCTTCCCGGACCCAAACTGGAACCTGGTTCCACAAAAGAGGACTCTGATAGCTGAACGCTCTAGCGCCCATTCTAGTTTTCAAGACTCTAGGAACGGCCAGTAACCCTTCATTCTGGGAGCGCAGTTCTCTGGTAGGGCAGTAAGGTACTAAAAGCTCTTTAAGATAAGATGGGGCCTGACCATGAAGAGCTTTATACGTAAGGAGAAGGATTTTAAATTCTATTCTGGATTTAACAGGAAGCCAGTGCAAAGAAGCCAAGACAGGAGAAATATGATCTCTTTTTCTGGTTCCTGTAAGAACACGTGCTGCAGCATTCTGGATCAGCTGAAGAGTCCTAATGGACTTTTTTGAAGACCCTGAAAACAAGGAATTGCAGTAATCCAGCCTAGAAGTAACAAATGCATGGACTCGTTTTTCTGCATCATTTTTACACAGGATGCTCCTAATTTTTGCGATATTACGAAGGAGAAAGAAGGCGGTTCTTGAAATTTGCTTAATGTGAGAGTTAAACGACATGTCCTGATCGAAGATAACTCCAAGATTTCTCACAGTGGTGCTGGAGGCCAGGGCGATGCCATCCAGGGAAACTATATCTCTAGATAATGCGTCACGAAGGTGTTTAGGCCCTAGAACAATAATTTCAGTTTTAGCTGAGTTTAACATTAGAAAATTGCAGGTCATCCAGGTTTTAACATCCTGAAGGCACATTTGAAGCTTAGCTAGCTGATGAGTTTCATCTGGCTTGATCGATAGGTATAACTGTGTATCATCTGCATAGCAATGAAAGTTGATAGAGTGTTTCCTGATAATATTACCTAAAGGAAGCATATATAAAGTAAAGAGGATTGGTCCGAGAACGGATCCTTGCGGAACTCCGTGGCTAACTCTGGCATGCATGGAGGACTCATCGTTAACATGCACAAACTGAAACCGATCTGATAAATAGGACCTAAACCAACTTAGAACGGCTCCTTTAATGCCGGTGAAATGTTCCAGTCTCTGTAGTAGGATCTGATGGTCAATGGTGTCAAAAGCAGCACTAAGATCTAATAAAACCAAGACAGAGACGAGTCCTTTGTCTGATGCCATTAGGAGGTCATTAGTAATTTTCACCAGTGCGGTCTCTGTGCTATGGTGAGCTCTAAATCCTGACTGAAAATCCCCAAACAAGCTATTGCTATGTAGATAGTCACACAGCTGTTTGGCTACTGCTTTCTCCAGGACCTTGGAGATGAATGGAAGGTTGGATATAGGTCTATAGTTGGCTAAAACATCTGGGTCCAGCCCATCTGAGTCCAACAACAATACATATCAGCAAAAACAACTCAAAAGCACATATATGAGACTTCCTGCTGAAGTAGGTTTTGACTGATAATGTAAAACAATACAATCCTCTCTCCAATGCCTGGTAACAACATGAGTGTTGGTAGTAATTTCAAATGAGCTTTTTCACAGGGAGTTGGATGTTAGCGTCAAAATGCCTGTGCTTTAAGGAAGAAGCTGCTTTCAACTAGGATCAAAATTACCATGTGAGAAAACTCCTGTGTCCATCATGTAGGGCCGGAAGCTTCTCATCATTGGCACTACCAGCAGGAAAGATGTCCTGCAAGAGATGGAGATGCTGGACGCCTTCAGCACCACGATCCACATCCCCAACATCTCTACTGGGGAGCAGCTGGTTGACGCTTTAGAGGTACATGCTCACAAAACCATTGCTTATTGCACACTTGCTCAAAGGGCAAAAAATTCAGGATGACAATTATGCTGATTTAAAAAAAAAAAAAAAAAAAAAAAAGAAGTAGCTAATGAAGCAAAAACCCAGAACAATTGAGCTTTTCACAAGTAATCTTAACTTCTTGACTTCTAATCTTGACAATGTACAAAATCAATCAGTCTATTTTTAAGAGCATAAAGTCATGTATGTATAAATGTTATTTAAGCACCAGAAAAAATTTGCTATAAGCATTCAAAGTGACATTGACCATTTGTTGTTTTTGTAGCTGCTGGGAAGTTTTACAGATAAAGAACGAGCCAGCATCGCTCACCAGCTCAAAGGAAAGCGTGTCTGGATTGGCATCAAGAAACTCATTGTCCTCATTGAGATGTCGCTGCAGGTACAGAACATGTCCAAACAGTTTCAAATACTAATTATGAGCCTTGATGTGCAAAATTCATAAACCAGGATAAAACATTTTCTTGGAGAAGATTTAGCCTTCCTCAAGGGACTTGAATTTTTATTTCATTTACTGAGAAGTGTGAAAAAAGGTATACCATTCTAAGCTTTCACAAATGAAAATCACTGGTGCTAGTTTGAGCTCCAAATATGGTAATAAGTAAAAAAATTATAGATTTTCATTTTGGAATCTGTATACCGAACGAGACTGCCACATGAGCCTGACTGGCGCAGTTTTGACCACATGTTCCCATTTAACTAGCTTTATCCACTCATCATGCTGAATAAAAGGATGGAAAAGTATAAGAAAAAACATTTTTCATGTTGTGGAGCATTTTCAAATGAAAATAAGACTTGATATATCTAGGATATTGATAAACAACATCCAAATAGGGAATTTTCCATCTTATCTAACAATTCAATGTTTGTTTTTTCTAATACCTGTAGATGGAGCAGGATTACAGAGTGACTAAGTTCATTTCTCTGCTCAGAGACGAGGGAGCGTAAGTACAAAAGCTCAGTACAAATCATATTTTCAACGTGTTTTTCGTGTCTTATTTGTTTTGTCATGCTCATCACTTTGGGTCTTTTTGGTTTTTCATCAACATTGTTCACAGGGTGCACTTAACCATAATGCAGCAATAATAAATGTTCTAAAGGGAAAAAAACAAGGTTTTCTCGGGGTCTCACGAATGGGGGTAAAATGGAGCTGGAGATCGACAGGCAGATCGGTGCGGCGTCTGCAGTAATGAGGACACTGTACCGGTCTATCATGATGACCTCAATTTATCAGTCGATCTACATTCCCACCCTCATCTATTGCCACGAACTTTGGGTAGTGACCAAAGAACGAGATTGCGGATATAAGCGGCCGGAATGAATTTCCTCCACAGGGTGGCTGGGCTCTCCCTTAGAGATAGGGTGACGATATCTATCATTCGGTAGGAACTCAGAGTAGAACTGCTGCTCCTCCACCTTGAGAGGAGCCAGTTGAGGTGGCTCGGGCATCTGATAAGGAGGCCTCGTGGTCGCCTCCCTGGTGAGGTGTTCCGGGTTCGTCCCACTGGGAGGAGGCCCAGAAGAAGACCCAGGACACGCTGGAGAGACTATGTGTCTCGGCTGGCCTGGGAACGCCTTGGGATCCCCCTGGAGCAGCTGGCAGAAGTGTAGGGGGCGAGGGAAGTCTGGCTTTCCCTGCTTTGGCTGCTGCACCTGGAACCCGACCCCGGATAAACGGTGGAAAATGGATGGATGGATAATAAATGTTCTAACCGCAAAGAACAAGGTTTACAGTCAGCTGTGCCTCTTCTAGACTATTACTGATCTAAATGGCTTTATTTTTTAAATCACCAGGTTGAATGAAGGTGACCAAATCCGAATTTAAGCTGTTGCTGTGATGCTCTTGCGTGTACTGGTAAGGTCTACAACAAATAGACTAGTGCCCCCAGATTAAATAGTTTAGCATTTAGCTTTTAGATTAGCATTCAGACATTTTTAACTTCCCTCCTGATGTTGAACCGCAAGAGCAGAAAAGCAGCTTCATAGCCCCAGATTGATTGATTTTATTTTATTTTTACCATTGAAAACTGCACATAGCTTGAAAGTTCTAAAAAAAACAGGTCACATAAATTAAATTATAGCTCCAGTTTGCTAAAATTAATGTGGCTCACTAAATATTGCATGCCACATACCAATCCTTCCTACAGCTAGTAGAGCCAAAGAATAACGTGATTTTTTTCTTGCCATGTCAAGCATTTCTTTATCAAAAGTACAAAATATAATTAGAAAGATTTCCATGTTTTCATTTTCATCCCTTTTACTATCTTTTTTTAAGTGATCATGTCTAATGTTTTTTCTATTCTGAATTTAATTGCTCTTGGAACAGCTTCTGTTTAGCTTTAAGTTTCAGAAACCAGTTACAAGTTACGTTAACTACAGGTAAATACAACTTACAATAATGAACAAATGCACCATTCTGCTTGACAGTGGTTGTCAACATAATATGGTAAGGGTTAAAAATGAAAACCTTCAGAAAAGGTTTAGAAAACGATTAATGTTTACAATTAAGATAAATTCTACAGACACATTTCTCCTACAGTTGCATGTCACATGTTTTGTAAGGTAATTATGGGCTGCAACTGCCTGCGAATGAGCATGTCTTGAACAGAATGACAATCTAAAGGAAGGATTTAAGGCACAGAAGTAGAAGTTTTGTAAAATATTGATGACACACATACCTTCCTGCCATTATAAAGGAACAATATTGCAATGATTCTGTCAACCAGTGATGGTTTTGTTTACCTAACCTATAGCCTGGTAAATGCTGCTAAAACACAAGCTGATTCCTTTTTTTTTTCTTTTTGCTAATTCATCCTGTGGCCAACATTATCCACAAGAGTGGTGATAACTCAACAAAACCTGCAGGAATTTTAAATAAAAATGTCTTTGCTTCCCTAAAATTCTGTCTTTATCTAGAGGACGCAGTTTCTATGAGTAGAGGGAAGGAAGAATCTCACCATTTACAAGCTACCTACAGGACACTAAGGACAAGAAGAAGATGATGTTGCTTCTGTGTTGATCTGTTTACTCGCTCATTGGTCTATCTATCTATATACAAAACTGGTCCAGTATAAAAAGAGATAAATTCCATTTTATCTCTGCATGTTTCGTCAGACAAAATATCACATCCCTCCTACTCATCATCATCGTCATCACCTGAACTTGTACTGACATATCACCGTAAACTATTGGAGTTCGTGCTGTTAAGAATCTGTTTAAAAACATCAAGAGTGTAAAATTGTTGTTTAGTGCATTGTGCGGAAAAAAAGAGGGGAAAATATAAGAAACTTTATGTTTTTAGCTATCCTATTTGTTGTATTTGTTGGATATCTCTTACCCCGCTTAAGGTAAATATAGTTGTGCTCCTCACAAGCAGTGTAAACGGAACAAAAACTTTTACACCGTTTCAATATTAAGACGTGAGTTTACAAGAGGCTTTTAGTGAATGTGTAGTGGCTGTTAAAAAAAGAGGCTGTTCCGTGTGTAAATGTTATCCCTTTAAAGATACAGTATGACCACATTCTGTAAATAGTATATATAGGCTAAATACAGTATATCATTAGATTAAGGATATTTCATACATTATCAGTATCTTTCTCCCTGTGGCTGTGCAGACTTTAATGGGTTAGTGTAGTGGTGAAAGTGAACTTTGGATTGTTGGCCTGTATTTCAAACAACTGGCTCGTGCGCATGTGTGGTGCGTCAATTGCTGCATGTTTCCAGAGTGTGTGACTGTGTAAACCTGAATGAAAGCCTGTGTGTATGCGTTTAATTTTGTCAATTTGGATCAGATTTCGACATCTAGTGGTTGGTTTGTGTTCTTTTTTTTATTCCATGTGTTCAGTGCTCTAAATCCAAATGTTCTTGTTTTGTTCAGACCATTGACAGTGTATGTATGTATTATGTGTAAATATGTGTCAATGTGCAGAGGTAATATTGCAATAAAAAACATATGCACAATAAAATCAAACTGTTTCTGTTGTCTGTCCAGTTTCACTTACGTTGATACAGTTCTACACATTATTTTTATGATATTTCATTCTTGCACACCACTGCAGTCAAGTCATACAGCACCTCAAAACTGGGCATCAAGCATTCAGATCAGCTCAAAGTAGTCTTAGGTTGTTTAAGACACTTGGTGACTTCAGTTTGCCCTCTTTTCTGTCCTTAAGATACTTCTCACAAGAAAACAAAAGCTTTTTCCAAGTGCTCCTTATACCTCCTCTCCATGTCACACTATTACTGGCACTATTATAGCAGGCCCTACACGAAGCAAATGTAAGACTTTTTTGGCAACATATACCTCCAAACTCAAAGGCAATGGCAGACATTTTGCAATGAGCTGCAAATATATTTATATATATATATTTCTTTTTAGTAAAATGAGACTAGCCTTTTCTGGAGTTTTATAAGGATTACTGAATTTTGCAGGAATTCAAAGATCTGTCTATTCACATTTGTGCCTTTGCTTTTGACTACCAATTCTGACAAAGGAATATAAAACTAAACGCAGTGTGAGATCTGTGTTGCCAAATGATTTGTCCTATGCCAATCAGTTCTGTGATACATCCAGCTCGCTTGTCAAGTCATTTGTACTATTTGTTTGTGGGCATTTTGAAATAGCAAACTGTGTAATTTAGATAGATACTTTATTGACCACAATGGACATTGTATAAGAAGAAAATGAGATCTGGCTCTCAAAAACCTGACCTGCTGAGAAAGTTTGTTAAAAAATTACACAACAAACTCAAACGCACACAACAAATCAAGAGGTTGAAATCCCCCTTAAAATTGTTAAGCATTTAAGGAGTGACCTCACCAGACTGGTTAGGAGGAAAAGTTACTTTGAATAATTTCAATTATTGAGCAAATTTTATTTAGTTGACCAACAGAAATAGGAATAAAATCTAGCAAAGACCTGATACAGGACAAGGCCTCCTCAGAAATGGTCTTCATTTCAAGTGTTGCCGTCAAGAACCCATTCTTAGAGAAGTGAAACAGGGAGGAAAAGGCTATAGATTTGCCAAATGACACAGGAAGTGGAATGAAAATCATTAGCAGGAGATCCTAATGGGGGGTCTCTATGTTACTGAAGCAATGAGGGATCATCCAACAGAGCTTTGGGGTGTTTTTTCAAGCAATATATAAAATGGATGAGGCTTAGCCCACAATACTATTACAGACAGCTATATGGCTTGCCTTTTGGTAATAATCTTACATTACCGTGAATAATAATTTATTGAACGTCATTGTATGTACTAGATGACGATGATCTACAGTTCCCCATGTCAACTCAGCCACAAAGCTCTATGTTTAGTTTTTTAATGTGGTGAGAATAACTCTGTGGGTTAGTGTTGTCTTATGTATGTCATAAGACAACACAGTTGAGTCAGTATGGAATTTATTAGGCCATGAAAATAATTATCAAAGAATACCTTTGTTTTTAATCTTGCCATTTATCATGCTTTCAATGAATCCATCCTTTACAAATTGTATTAAAGGAATGGAATTGGCCCTTTGCCAGCTATAATTTCATGAGAAGCAGGGTACACCCTGGACATGCACCCCAGGTTAAATGGACAAATGAAACTACACTAACTAATAAATAGGTCCCCTCCACATCAGTACAATTATTATTTTTTAATTGAGTACCTGGAGATAGCATGCAAAGTCCTAATAAACCAGGAACTGTATTCAGTTTGGATATAATGTATCTGCAAATACATATGGAAAAAAACAAAACAATCTACCACTCTTTAACCTACTCTATCTGTCTTACTGAGCTTTTAAACCAAGCTGTATGACAACCGGAGAACGCTGAATCCAGAATGCTGCTCCTCCAGTTTTGATTAGAACCAAGAAATACGCCTATATTAGTCGGGTTCTCAGGTCTCTGCTCATTGAATAGACTTCAAACATCTCTGCTTACAACAGTCTCCTCAGTGCCAAAGTAGATCTCTGACATGTCAGAGCCATATGAACCAGCGTGGATTTTGTGTTGTAAAGGACTTTGAAGTGCCTTATGTATGAACTAAAGTAATACACTTATTTGCCTTTGTTTTTTATTTTCTCTAATTTGCTTTTGAAGGCATGCCGTTGTGAAGCTTGTACTGTATTATCATTCGCAGCGTACTTTTTGATATGTTTGTATTTGATAAATATAGAGGGCAAAGTTTTCTCTTTTGAGAAATCGACCTTTTCTGACTGGTTCTTGTTTGTCACGGACAGGAAACGTGAATGACGGCAATACCCCAGTGCGGCCGGTGAAGGGCGCTGCGGAGCCTGGTGGCAAACCATTGGCTGACCTGCATTCACCCGTACTGTACAGGCACGGGGAAGGACGGAGCATAGAGAACTAATAAATGCCGTAGAGTTCCCTCTGTACACCATAACCGTGACTTTGGGAGTCCCAGTCCCGTGCGCCGGACACAGCTCCCCGTATCCACGCGCATGACAGCGGATTAAAAGGAGCAAGCTAACTCTCGGGCAGAGGCACTGACACCGACCCGAACGACGTAGAAGCGTTTGATTTTTACGCCTTCGCTGTACGTTTTGTTTTGTATTTTTCCTCCTTCTCTGCCCAACCCTGTACGTCCCTGCTGACGGGCTTTCTGTTTATGCTTCGCGAGCTGCTGTCATACGACGAGTCGAGTGGCGGTGAGTGTGACAATTTACTGCACTTCTGTTGAAATACGTGGAGCGCTGCCTCGTTGGGTCGGCGGTGTAAAACGGAGCGCTGTCCTCACGTCAACCCGGGGCACTGCGCCGGCCTGCTGACTTTACCCTACCGGGAGGTTAATGCGGGGAAGCCGGCCAGTTCACCTCCGCTGCCTGGCCTTTGCGAAGGGGTCTGTCCTTCGGTGGTGCAAGTTCAATCTCTTCTCTTTAGCCTACAAGATAAAAAAAATGCTAACCTGCATCCTGTGTTCAAAGGTGTCTAGGGGAAAGTTGGGAGACAAGGTGTCGATATGTTTACAGTGTTGTAGGTATGCGGGTTTCCCATTGTGAGGTCTTTGTAGGCTGTGTTGATTTCACTTTCCATGTGGCACGTCCAAGCAGCCGTGTCTGTGTGCCAGAGTGTCCGTGAAATCCTACGAGAGGCTTGTTATGTGTCACGGCGCAACCTGAGATATGAAATGTCCCTCACAGTTTGTAGTTGCTCCTCCAGGGTGGTGTGTGCGCGTGTGTGGATCATATCAGGGTTGCAGATTATACCAGCAGATTGATATTGGATTAACAGAAGCACCACAGAATTATTATTAAAATCACGTTGCTTTCGACTCCAATGATATAATCAGATTTCTGGCCAGGCCCAGCCCACCAAGTGGTAATTTTTATGAGTAAAATGTTGAGAAGCTTCACAATTAAACTGGATGACTTGAGTGAAGGGTTGCAAATGGAGCTTTGCATGATTCATTGATGAACTACTTAAATACAGACTGGTCGCTGCGAGAAGGGGCCATACAAATTTTCAAGTATCGAGTATTCAAGTATTTTTGGGAAAGTGGTGCACCTGGCGTAACCTTATGTGTGAGAGGAAACAGAGTGCTTGGACAGTATAGGACAATGTAGCATATGGGAAATCTAAAAACATAGAAGGCATTCCCAGTTCCCTAATTTCCAACCCACCAGAAACCCTGTCCTTTAAACCCCAGCCCAGCAGGTGGTGGTAATGCACCTAACGTTATGAAGATCTTCAGCAGTCGTTATGCCTTTTTTTCATTTGGCTTACGTTATGTCTATGTTTATGTTTATGCATTTGGCAGACGCTTTTATCCAAAGCGACTTACAGAGTAGACACAATATTACATTTATCATCACTATGAAATTAAGCTATACAGAGGAGAAACACTGATCAGAGTCGGTGGTGACAGCCAGAGATAGAGGGCACTACAGAAGGAGTTGTGGGGGGATAGAGGTACGGGTTAGGATTAGGATAGTAGATGCTCTTTGAAGAGGTGGGTCTTCAAGATTACCCTGAAACCATTTAGAGAGGTTCATGACATCATTTCGGGTGATAGTTGGACAAAGAATTAATTCCTGAGGACTTTTGTAACATAGTATAAAGGGGACATTTTATAGGCAACAATATTTGTCAAATCCCATGAAGACATCAAACAAATAATGTATTTTATCTATGTTTTACAAGCAGAACATTGGGGGATATATTCTTAGAAAATGATTAAATATTCTAGCCCATCTTAAAATGGTGTTTGTGCTCTATATCCACATACATATAAACCCATAATCTCTACTAGCGGCCAGACATGACCTTTTTTGGTGTCCTCACCCTCCCTCCTGTGCTCCCAAGCCAGTATCCTTGTTTAATTGAGTAGGGGATGGAGATGGGGAGGTTGGAAGTATCGAGAGGAAGGAAGAGACTGGAAAAGTCTTCCCCCCCTTACCTCAGCTTATGTGTGTGTCTGAGATTAGTTATATAACCATGGCTGTGTAGAGGCAGGCTGTTTTTTTAGTCCCTGAGGTCCTACGGTCTTACAGATGCAGACAGGCGGAGGGGAGGGGCTTTGGGTGATCTGATGATGGATCTAATGAGTTTGTTGGCATGATCCCTGGGAACTAGGTTTTATCTCCTTTGGTCTGCTTCTCGATAGCCTGAATGCCCACAGGTATTGGGCTATAAAGTGTTGTAGTAAAAAAAAAAGTAATCTTCTTAGTGATATTTGTTCCATGTCTAACACGTTACTAGATTGAATGCTGCTTTTTAAATTATAATTACTATTGGCCTACTTGATCTCATATAACTTCTGCACCATCAGTGACCATCAGTGACATTATCTAGATTCTGGATAATGTAACTACTACCTGAGGGCTGAGAAATTAAGCGCTATGGTACACAAGACTTCTCCAGTTTGACCTTTCTATTATAGACAATATTCATTGGAGCAAATCGCATTTGTAACCAATTGGGTCTCATTACCATAACTCTTAAAAAATATGCAAAAGC